TTTGATATGAGCATTGTGGACTGACAGTTGCCCAAGTTTTTAGCCAAACATATGTTAAAATAACAGCATGTTTTTATGTTTGTTTTAATGGCACTGAAAAAGGTTGAAAAAAACAAAAACAAAGCGTCTTTATTGTGACCAGGCTTGCATCTCCACTGACCTGACTCTTACTTGGCATTCACATGCTTGTCTCCCTGGAACTGTTGTTCCTTGGGCTATAATATTCAATGGAGAATGTTGAAGTACGGTTTTAACTTCTAACCTCTTCTATATGTGACGTGCCACCTCCAGCATGTGACATAGTGTACTTGAAATACTTCCAAAATTGTTTAGAACAAGTCCCACACTTGAAAATGTAACACGCTAGGGGCTAGGGCACTAACTGCAGCCTAGGGGCGACCAGGAGGCAAGATAAGGCATTTGTATAGCACAATTCATACACAAAGTAATTCAAAGTGCTTCACAGAATAAGAAAGACACTAGTAGAAACAACAAGGAGTCAAAGTGTGTGAATAAACCATAAAACTATAATTCTGTTAAAAATGATGATGATGAGTATTGAAGATATTTGAGCTCAATAATTTTACCTTATATATTAGATGTGTTATAAAAAGTATATGATTATTTATGGGTAGGTATGTTTAATAAAACAAAAAAATCCAATGACAGACAGCCAGCAGTATTATTTTTCCCAAAGACTTCAGTTCATAATTAAGTTTGAGTTGTTAGAAGTTAGTTTTGTAATCCCATAGGTTTGAGTTACTCACATCCCAAGGTCCGGTTCAGAGTTATTTTGAACCAACAGTTCCAGGTTTATGAATGAAAAGGGTTCACCATTTCCTACCGCATTCCACTCAGTAGTTACCTTGTAATCCAGTAGATGTTTGATGTAGATACAATCTAAAACAGGGTTAACAAAACACAAAGTAGCTCATGATTTATTTAGTTTTAGCTCCAGTAATAATCCATTACAGCTAATGAGCAATAATAATTTAAATCAATGTCATATTTCACAGCAATAAAGACTGCAAGGCTTACAACTTAAGTCATAAACATTTGGTCATTAGTGGTAGTCCCATTCAACAATAGTGTTTCAATATAATGAGCTTAAGTTATGTTACAATTCCTAATATAGTGGAACTTTAGATATATACATCAAAAAAGCTAGAGCTACAATGCTGACTGATTTCTCAAAATGGACAAATCTTAATAAATTTTCAAGTATTTTTGTTGCCTAACACAAAGGGAATCAATTCAAAATACCATAGCTGCTTGGGCTTTGTGGCATTAATGTCCAAAGCGACATAAATTATTTTAACACTACAGTCTTTGGCAAAAATTCCATGTGATTCAAAAACTAAAGCAGCCATTTAACGTAAAAGTCTGCTTATCAGTTGGGCCGAATGCCTTTGTTTGTATGTGGTGTTGTGTTGTTGCATTGTTTTGCATGGGTGTCCGCAGCATCATATAGTTGTTAATAACTTCAGGTAGTGACAGGGAGTGAGGTTGAATGAGTTCCATCATCTTGATCAGAACAGTGGTTTTAATAAGTTCCATCTCAAACAAACCAGCCACGGTGAGAACAGCACCAGAGGAGAGGGGCTAGAGGAAGTTCGGCAAGTGACGCTGGAACTTAAAGGGAGTTATCCCACTACAATTAAGTTGTAAGTGGAAGTGGTCATTGGCGTGGGTTACCCCTTGGACCGGGACCAGTCTGGCATCGAAAAGTTGATTGACTAGGGTACGGAGACATCACATTATCTTTGTCCTCCTGAACAGCAAAGGTGGAGGATATGCCAAGACATGAAGCCTACAAAGAATGATGCTACAGGATTCTCATTGTTTGGCTGCCAACCAAGACTTCCCATGGACCTGGCCATTCTGGACTAGAATGCTGCTAAATGATGACAAACCAAACCCTCACTTGTAGTATGTCCAAAAATTGAAGTCCCACCTGGAAGACAGTTACAAGTTGAGAATACCCAATTATATGAGTACAGGGTTGCCTCTTGGATGGTAAAGGTTCCATTCTTATATTGTGGATATCAGTCTTGAAGCCTTTGTGGAATGCCGTAACACACAAGGAAATCGTCCCATAGACGCTTGGAGCCAGTCAATCTGGGACTCCACATACAAAAAATCCACACAGACCAGTTAGAGAGCACGCAACTTCCAGATGCTGACGAGGGCTGCAGCATGTTCAGGTAGGATGCATCTAACTGTCCAGGTTATTTGAAAACTAAGATAGAGCAGGCACTAAACTTAAAAAGTCTACTTATTGGTCACACTGTATTTTTTGTATGCTATGTCAGCATTAGTTTAGCAGCATTTTGCATGCATGTCCACAGTATCAGACAATCGCTAAGTATGATACTGTAATCTTGGTCAGAGCAGTGGTTTTAATGAGGTTCCATTGCAAACAAACCAGCCACCGTGAGAGCAGCACCAGAGGAGAGAAGCCGGAGGAAGTTTGGCAAGTGACAACAGAATTTAAGACATTGTCCCGCCATATTTAAGTTGTAACCAGAAGTGGGGCGTACCAATACATGCCTATCTACGCCATCTGACCCACTGGCTAGAGGGTATTTGCTTAGCTCACTGCACCATCGTGCATGACTTCAAATTGAAACTGATAGCTCTGGACAGCAGCCTATTTGTGAATCACCTCCAGAGAAAAAGCTGAGTCAACACTGGACAAACAACTCCCTCTCACCAACAATATCATCCACGAGAATATGGTTACATAATATTAGAACAATGTTATCTAGGAATCTGGCCCTAACTCAACACATGCTCAAATATGTGATCAAATATTTTCCATAGTATGACCTCTTAATAACTTCAACAGGAACTAAAACAAGGCTGAATACATTTTAAGGACCAGGTCTAGAGTGTAATTAGAAAATAAGTAATTTATAATTGTGATACCAAGATAACACTTCTGCAGATCTGGCCATAACAAATCTTGAGTTTAATGTTGGGGATGGTTTATCATTATTTGCGATATGGAAGGATTTACCCAAATATCAGCAATGGTACTACAATATTGCAAATTAAATCAATATATGGCAATAATATTTTTCTGCACTGCCTGAGTACATCCATGATAAATACACTTATCATTTTTACAAAAGTGAAAAGTAAATTGTTAAGTGATTTGTAAATTTCACTAAAATTTTACATAGATTTTGTTTGTACTATGGATTTTAAAAGCTTAATATTGGTATCGCAAATATCGGTTACCAGCCACAACAGCAAGACAAACATCGGATATTGTACCGGCTGAAAGAAATCCACATGGGACCTTCCCTGTTTAATTTAATGCGTTTTTAATGATGCCTTCACTGAATGAAAGTCCTAAATCATTTAGAGGTGAGTCCATTTGACAGTAATGATAACAAAGCTATATTTTTGTAATTAGAAATGTCTCGGTTGAGGATCAGGTCTTGCACAAAACATGAATGAACTGTATAATGCAACACAAGTGCAGAAATAATAAGCAGTTTCGTCTTACACAATATAGGTAATGTTCTGATTTTGTACAATTGTTACATTTTCATATATGATCAATTCATCACAGACCAACAGGCCTAGTATTGCACTGTAGCAAAAACAAAGCATTTTAGGAACTTCTACAAATGATTTTGTGGAAGTTATTTAAAAAAAAAAAAAGGTTTGCAAAAAACACAATTGTTTGCTGTACATTGTAGTTATGAATGCATGGTCTTTTCTTGCTATAAACTCATTGTATTAGGCTATTTTCAGTCACTGGGTCAGAGAACATTACATTCTTATTATGTAAAAAACCCTTAGGCTACAGACATAAAGCCATGTTTACTGCTTTACACCCAAATAAATCGATAGCCTACATAATGAGAACGAAACAAGGTCATATATTACCAATAGGAGATTAACTGTATGTGCAAAGCAATATAAGCCTTCATAATGCATAAACCAGCCATGAAAACGTAATTGAAAAACCACTGTCTGTGTCCATCACACTAATCAAACATCGTCCCCAAGCGGATCTTCAATAGCTATAAGGAAATACATTCTTTCGAACATTTGAAACATGCACCAGTAAAATGTGTTGATTGCTCTTTAAACATGCTAATAATACCAAAACATGTCTTCTTTTCTATGCAATCAATGCACTAGTGTTAGAAGTTCAATTTAAGCTCAAACGTGCAACACTGGTAACTCAAACGTGAAGCTAATTCGCTAGCATCGTTGTATTATTGCAAATTTGACTCTTATTATCGATTTGTTTAGCATTAATTTTGGTTTATTTATCAGTAGGGCAATTATAGTAGCCTTATAATTAGTATTTGTAGGCAGAGTTACAGTACATTATAGTAAATTTGGTGTACAGGTTCATTTAGGCTAAATATGTGGCATGGGTATTTCAGAAGTGAAGCTAGTTCGTTAGCATTCGATTATTCTTAAGTATTTAAGGCGTAGCACCGATTATTCGTCATTATTGTTAAGTAAGTTTAATAGTGAGATACTTATTGTTCGGTTATTGGTGTCAGTGGTATCATAACTGTGCATTTTGACAGCTAAGTGGCACCGAAGTGCAAAAGGGCGTGTGTGTGAAGTCGTCAAGTTAGCCGATGAAGCTAAAGCTAAACTAGCTAACAACATTTTAATAGTTTTCAATGGAAATAAGCGGTCATTTGTGTTAGCATCTGCTTTAGCACAAGCTTGGACGCAGCTGAGGGGAACCCAAGCACTTAGGGTCGTGATCAAAGTTGTATTTAGCGTCTATTTTGAGCTAGGACCGTACAAGGAGCCTGAGAGCGGAAGTTGGGGCTAAAAATAATAAAAGGCGAAGCGGCAGGAGCGGAGCAGCGGAGGCCCGGGGGTTTGCACACCCGAAGAGAGAGCGCTGCACACGGGCAGGAGCAGCGCCGAGAACCCGGGGAAAGCGCATTCCGGTGGAAACCTCTATCCTCCGTCTGCACAGCGGGTTATTGAACGGGTTTGTGTCCGGTTCTTACCTTCTCTTCGTCGGATAGCTGCTCGTCATGATCCGCCATCTTTTCTTCCGGCTCCACCAGCTTCTCAGCCCGGCGACGTCAGCTCAGGGGCGGGGTACAGCAGCTCGACAGGCCGGGGGGAGGAACCTCAGGGGCGGGGTACCGGAGCTCCATAGCCCGGGGGAGTGGTGTTTGGTGGCTGCTCTGCTCTGCTCTGTCTGCTTCTGGATTCTCTTTTTTGCGTGATATTGCACAGAATTTTGAGTTCACAGTATTCATACGCGCAAACATGTTATTAATCACCAAATATTTTCATTGCCTATTATTTTAATGAATCTCCAAGATAGGTCCTACGTTTATGCATACAATGTAAAAGCATAACAATATAATTATCTCCATTTGACCCTCTTCTCTGCCTCCTCTGCTCCATCTGACCCTCTCCTCTGCATCCTTTACTCCTCTAACCCTCTGCATCCTTTATTCCTTTGGCCCTCTGCATCCTTTATTCCTTTGGCCCTCTGCATCCTTTACTCCTCTGACCCTCTGCATCCTTTACTCCTCTGACCCTCTGCATCCTTTACTTCTCTGACCCCCTCCTTTACTCCTCTGACCCTCTTCTTTGCTCCATTTGATCCTCTCCTCTTCTCCATCTGACTCTCTTCTCTGCATCCTTTACTCCTCTGACCCCCTACTTTGCTCCATCAGACCCTCTTCTTTACTCCTCTGATCCTCTGCATCCTTTACTCCTCTGGCCCTCTCCTTTACTCCATTTGACCCTGTCCTCTGCATCGTTTACTCCTCTGACTCTCTCCTTTGCTCCATTTGACCCGCTCCTCTACATTGTTTACTCCTCTGACCCTTTCCATTGTTTACTCCTCTGACCCTCTCCTCTGCATCCTTCACTCCTCTAACCCTCTCTTTTGCTCCATCTGACCCTCTTCTCTGCATCATTTACTCCTCTGGCCCTTTCCTTTGCTCCAACTGACCCTCTCCTTTGCATTCTCTGCCCTCACACCAACTGCATTGCTTTTTTCACATTCATAAACCCAACTCCTTAGCATTCAACTACCCTTCTCTGGACCATACATTCGCTCTCCCTTATATCAAACCATGCTCTTCAACAAAATCTAATAATATAGACATTTTATCTCCCCTTATATCAATGAAATGCACAAAAATGCAATAAATTTTTGCACATAATCTATTGAAGCTCTTCCTCCACTAGATGTCGCCCTATCCTTGTCTATTTCTCATCTGCTTTCTTTTCAGACCCTAAATATGACCCGTAAAAATCAGATCACGAGAATATTCATATTCAACCCAGAAATAAGATCTCATTTTTGGTGTTTGTTTACATGCACAAGAGACATCTGATCATCAAAAGCACTTGGTGACGTGCTTATCAGTGGAATGGGCTATGAATCAATGAAATAACTGGAAAAATGTTGGGAAGTTAAGTACAGAAGTAGATTTTTCTTCCTGTTTTAAACCACCATTTAACAAAATTAAGACAATGTCTGTTTATTACATTAAATTATAGTTTTGAGTGAAATCTTAAAGGTCCTATATTACACAAAATTGATTCTTGTGAGTTTTAAGCCATGTTAGAATGTTGTTACTTATCAAAATATACCTGGAGTTGTGTTTTGTTTCATTCACACATGAGTAACTCTTTATTATTAGTCTGTCTACAGTTCCAAAGCTCAAAATGCTCTGTTCCACCTTGTGATGTCATGAAATTATAGTTTTCAATTTACTTTTTGTATTCATTTTAGTAGTGATGGACAATTCCAGGTCTGAAATGATCCAAATGATTCTAATGATGGTGTGTGGAGCATTTTCTGTATTACCACATGGTATCACAAGGTGGAACAGAGTATTTTCTGTTTGAGAGAAGAGCCCAGCCTGAATATTGTGTGTTAAACATGTGTGAATGAAACAAAACATAACTTCAGGCATGATTTTGACGAGGAAACAACATTATAATCAGACCTTATGCATTTTAAATTTTGATTTTTTTATGTAATTTCCAGGTTTTTTTTTGTTAGAACTTACTGGGGCAAACAATTACTCAATTACAATTACAGATTACTCACGCTAGATGTAATTGTTCAATAAGATGAACTCCAGAAATCAGATTACAATCAGTTTTTGGTGTGCATGTTAACATAGTGTTTCTGGGCTCTTCTCTTTTGTTCACACTGTAACTGGATCTCTCCCGTAGAGACAGACGGAGCGGCTCAAAGCTCTGTAATATTTTCTCAGATGCACAAGTTCAGAGGAGGCGGACATCTTAAAACATCAAACTCACACAGAGAGAGGACTTATAAGGACAAAAACAGTCTGCGCCAGTCTGAGCCAATAATGAAAATGTATGGAGTGACAAAAGATGCAGACTAACAGCTGTTCAAGCACACAGAGCTCGTTTTATCTCAGGATAGCAAAGGTTAATGGAAGATGCATTCTCCTATTTTTTTTGTTTTCTTCTTGAAATTGTGATTTAATATACATCGAAACCCTAGACTCTAGAACGGAGTATGACGTCACTTATACCATTCGGCTCCAGTCAAATGAAGCTCACCGAGGCTGGCAGTCATGGATCGAATTTGGAGATGAGTTTCATATTAGGAATAGCAACTGATTTATGGACAAAATAAAGAAATAAAAACTCCAGGATCATATAGAGCGGGTTAATGCGAACATTTTAAGACCAAAATGAGGATTCTGAGAGCAGTAGATGCAGAGAGAGGAGTGACGTTTTTTCAATAGAAAGTGAATTGAAGCCAGAGTCGAAGGAGCCGAAAGTGTGCCCATGATTTTTTCCTATTTGCAGGGTTTCCACAGTCATGGAAATCCTGGAAAAGTCATGGAAATTGAAAACGTAATTTTCCATGTCTGGAAAAGTCATGGAATTTTAGTATCTTTCACACAACTCCAGCATTCTGTTAAGTTCTCATGAGGCTATTATGATTATTTCCAAACATTTGCGCCTTTTATTTAAAAGACAGGACAATAAATGCACTGACATATTTTGAATGTTAAAAAACTATAATACCAAACCATAAGGTGAGTGGAAAGGGTTAACATTTCATATTTAGGTCAAAAGTTTGATCAATTCTACACATGTAGGTGCTGTAAAGTCATGGAAAATTCACTTTACGTCATGAAAAAGTCATGGAAAAGTTTTGAAATTTTGTCAGTGAAAAAGCGTGGGAACCCTGTATTTGGAACGCGGCTGCAAGAGGGTTAGCTGTGTCCATGTATATTTACTTTCTGTAACTGAAACAACTCTTCTAATAAAAACCTATCCATAGGTTTCAGAATGTTGATAAATTAGGATTGTTGCCATAGCAATTCAAAATTTAATAAAACAAAATGAGATCTTTTGAAATGTAAAAAGTCCTAAAAATGTTGCATAAGATGAAATCCATGAGGAACTGTGGTAACAAAGACTAAACAATTAAAGCTGGTTTATGTAACTTTTCTTGCTGTCTCCATGTGAACGTTCCATATTATAGTATAGACCAATATAAATTAAGACTGGATATCATTAAGAAGTTGCCAATACGATACATACCACGATACATACGTACAATACAATATATATCTCGATACAGTCAGCTCATGATTTGATACAGTTCAATACGATTTATTTCAAATTGATTCGATAAGTCCAATGAGGGTCATTTGGTCTTCCAATAATTTACATTATTAGGTTCTTCTTACAGACCAAAAAAGATCTGAAAAATTAACTATTCTGAAAAAAGAACCTAATAACATGTATTCGATATGGTTCAATAAAAATGTATGTCTAAATCATGGCTGTGATACTAAAAGTCTTTGTTAAACCACTTCTTGTGCAAACTGAATATGAAACTCAAACATTTTCATCCTCAAGACAGAGAAAATGTCAAATATGTTGCATAAATGTTGCATAAATCCTTCATCTAAGCAAGTAACAAAACTGTAGCACTGTAACAAAATAATTGAGTAAAATATACAAAAAAATGCTCCTGGTGATATATCGATACAGCAGCCTATGACATTGATATTGTATCATCACATTAAACGATACATCACCATTTCGATATTTTTGCACTCCCCTAATATAAATGCATCTATCACCATGGAGACAAGCATTTCCAATGTAGTTGCAATAAGAAAACACGTGTAATTGATAAAGTCATACAGGTCTATGTAACTTCCAAACTGTGTTAGAATTTGATGTCATAATTTCAGATGAATGGCAGGGACTTGTATAACTCTTAGTTACTCTTTTTTGAAAGAAATCTTCAAATTTATGATCCACAAATTTTGAACCTCTTCATTTATTTGAGATTCGCTCCACAAACTTGTCACCTTGGCTTTTCAGATGACAACAGTCTCGTCTTTGGGACTGAACACTGGCACCACTTTACAAAGCCATTGTGAAAAAATAATTGGACTTTTGTTTATTTGTTTGTTTATCTATCCTGACAGAGACGACATTGAACTTTGTGCAATTTTTGTTCCATGTGGATAGGCCAAGTAATTACACAGAAATGAACCATGAACCAGGTCAACAAATCTGCAACTGTGAACTCCACCTGAGAATTCTGACCTCTTCTTCTGCTCAGTTTAAACTACTTTGGAGTGACGTCACGCTGTGTTCTACATGTTCGGTAGTTACCATGGTGACTAGGGCTGGGTATCATTAAGAAGTTGCCGATACGATACATATCTCGATACATAGGCTACAATACGATACGTATCTCATAGAGTGAGCTTTCGATTCAATACAATATATTTCAAATTGATTCGATAAAGTTCAATAAAAAATAAAGGCTTAATCGTGGCTGTGATACTAAAAGTCTTTGTTAAACCACTTCTTGTGCAAAGTTCATATGAAACACAAACATTTTAATCCTGAAAACAGTGAACATGTTGTATAAACAAGTTTCCTTCCTCTAAAGAAGCAACAAAATAATTCATTAAAATACACCAAAAAGTATTCTCAGCGATATATTGATACAGCAGTCCCCGATATTGATACTATATCATCACATTAAACAATATGATACATATCAATATTTCAATATTTTTGCACACCCCTAATGTTGACACAATATTCACAATTGCAAAACACAGACGAAAAAGTTTTAAGATGGT